TACCAGAACACCCTGATGTTTTCAGTGTGTCATGCTGTAAATATTCTGGTTTTAGACTCTCAGTACCAGGATGGGTAAGCAGCTATAACAGCTTGCATTAGAAAACATTTATACAGGAGCCAAACTTCTGGATGCATTTCAGGCTTTATTTCTTTATTTCCAGTTTTATTTGTCCATGTGTTTTGATAATTCCTTTGTATATCTCATAATTATTGCTGTTCTACTTTTGTGCCAAATTGAAAACAAACCAGGCAACCAATAGCATGAAGTGCTTCACCATTTTTCTTTTTTTCAATGCCTGCTGAGGATAAAAATGTTTCTATACTGCTTGCTTAACCAAAAAATCACTGCTATTACTATTTAGAAGCAGGCTGCTGCTTTCTTTTTCCAGACAGCTATATTTTACAAACTTGAGCTCTGCTGATACAGTCCCTGCAGTGTGTCATGGCACAGAAATCAACCAGCTCAGCTTCTCCTTCTCCCAGGTGTCTCCAGAGGGTAGGGTAGGACCTGCTGGCCAAATGCATCTTAGAGGGTAGTGGAGGAACTGCAATATCAGATGGGAAGAAGCTCTTGCAGACTTCTTTCCTAGATCATCATTAAATGGGCTCAGGTTTAAAATAGAGGCTCTTAAGAGATAGACATCTTAGAAGGAAACTAATACAGCTGAAGTTAAACAGAAGTATTTAATTCTGTTTCTGTCTCCTTGAACTTTTCTTCTCCCTTGGGATTCATAGGTAACCACAGTATCATAATTTTATTCTACTGTCTAGCATGTTCACATCATTTTGTAAGACGGTTTTGGTTTTGGTGTTTTTTTTTCACGAATATACTTTTACATCCTGCCAAGATGCTGTGACATGGAGAGCTATGACTTCATTTTCTACTCTCAGTGATTCAGAGGGGATAATTTTACGCTATACAGTATCAAGAATTTTTTATCCATATAAATGTTTACACATACCAAGTCCAGTCTGTAAGACTTGCAGACATGTTTCTTGTCCAGAGTCCCCAGTGAGGTGCTGCTGAGTGATGTAGTATTGTCATTGTTTGGATCGAGTCTCCTCTTACCCCCTTCTCTTATGCTGAGGAGGACATCTGAAGAGTTAGGAGGTTCACATCCCTCTCATTTCAGTGTTCCTGCACAGCAGGGAGTGACTTCAGATGTGTATATGTCAGCGAACATCAGTCAAGAGAGGTGAGTAATAAAACATAGAGGAAGAGCCAACAGAACCCAGACACAGCTGAGTCTTTTCATCTCACTGATTCCAAAGAGCATAGCAAAGTTGAGCCTGGACAGTGCCATTTAAAATAAACTATCCTGCAGAAAATCCAAGCCAAAGCATCTTAAATAGCATCTATTTACAGAAGAATGATCAGATCCAAGGTCCTAAATGTAACACAAAAACATATATCTTACTTCCAAATGTGCCTATGACAATATGTAAGTCTTTAACACATTGATTGAACCAAACTCCAAAGTTTGTATTCCTTAACAGGGAAAGTGGATTAATAAGGTATTAATTGACATAGAAGCTTGATTGTATTTTTATATTAATTTAGCAGGAGTTTTGTGTTATCAGTATGTTATATTCCAGACTGGATTCTTGTATTATTTACAATCTTAGAATCATTATTTTGTGTAGCCATTGTAATGGCAGCTGTAAAACAGATTGCAAAGTTAAGAAGGCAATATTCTGAAAAAAAAAAAAAGAAAATATTTTTGGTAATTGTATGGATATTAGTTGTAAGAATGTAATGGGTTCTTCAAGTCTGTGGCATCCTTAATCTGAGACTGGGTGTCATAAAAAGAGATGAAATTGGAGGGTTGGGTGCACCGAGTCTGTCCTGAAAGGTGTTAGCATGACACACGTTTCCAGAGTGCCCATCCTGTCTCACTGGCTCTGGAGGAAACACAGGAGCAATGTTAGCTGCCTGGACAGTACTTTATTATCCCTTCTCTTAAATTCTGTATCTCTGGCCAGCACTGGCAGCTGTAAGAGGTTAATCTCAACTGGCTTTAAGAGGTTAGTCTCAGGTTGTGCAGTGCCCTGTATTTGAGAGGGGCCAGATCTTTCCTGACCCTCATATTGATGAATTTATATCAGCAACAATAAGCCAAATTACTTGGTCTGGTCTCTGAAGCATACCAGCATGGTGTGTCTTACACACTGTGTGTGAAGATGCTTTCAATGAATACAGGTACTTCCAAGATTTTTTTTTTCAAAACTGCCTTCATTTGCATTGCTACTAATCATAATGGGGGCAGTGTAAACAAGAGAAACCAGAGGTGCTAAGAGTTGCAGCCTCTTAGCACCTTGTTCATAATCTTAAATACCATGAATCCCTGTAAGAGATTTAAAGAAGAAAATAAGTAGAAAATTAATGTATTGCTCCAGTTGTACATTTGAAATGCATCAGCCTGATATGGTACTTAGGGTTTAATGTACAGCACCATCATAATTTACTAATTTATCTACATATACTGCCATAACACCCGGGGTTCAGTGTGTCTGGGAACACAAGACAGGGAAAGAGCAAGTGGTGAGATGGAGAAGGCATGAACAAAGGAGTGAAGTTGAGCAGCCTGGGACAAAAAAGGAGGTGGGTGAGGGAAAGCATTTTAGCTATTTGTCTTTGTTCCTCACCATCCAACTCTATTTTAACTGGCAATAAACTAAATTAATTTTCCCCAAGTGAAGTCTGTTTTGCCTACGACAGTACTCATTTAGTCTTCTTGTCTTTATCTCAACTCATAAGCTTTTTCATCTTGTTTTCCCCACTGTGTCTTGTTAAAAAAGGAGAATGAGAGAGCAGATGGGTATCTGACAGCCAACCATGGTCAGCTCACCTCAATCTGTTAAAGTTATTGGCCATCAGGTGACACCCTTGGTGAAAGAGTACAAGGTAGTGCAAGAAAGATGAAGATGAATTTCCTCCATCTTTTTCTCTATTCCCCAAAGTTTTCCTTACTGCACTTTCTATTAAATTCATAGAATCATAGAATGAATTTGGGTTAGAAGGGGCCTTAAATATCTTTAATATCTCTTGCCATAGGCAGGGACAATTTTCACTAGACCAGGTTGCTCAAAGCCCCATCCAAGCTGGCCTTGAACATTTCCAGAGATGGAGCATCCACAATTTCTCTGGGCAACCTGTTCCAGCGTCTCACCACACTCATACTAAAGAGTTTTTTCCCTATATCTAATCTAAATCTACCTGCTTTCAGTTAAAAAATGTTACTCCTTGTCCTATCATTTCAGGCCGTGGTAAAAATTCTACATCCATCTTTCTTTCAAGCCTCCTTTAGGTACTTTAAGGCCACAATAGGGCCTCCCCGGAGCTGTCTTCTTCAGTCTGAACAACCCCAACTCTCTCAGCGTCTCTCCATAGATGTGCTCCAGCCCTGTGATCATTTTCTTGGCTCTCACTTTTGGTACCAGAGTGTGTTGCCATTTGTCAGCTGAGGGAGAAATATGAACTAACTGAACTCAGCTCCTTCTGAAACACATCAGTGCCCCTTCCTAGGTAACCAAAGAGATAACAACAGACATTCTTTGCCCAGTGAAAAGCATTTATAGTTTAGCATTCAAGTTGAGTATGTAAATTCTGGTATTGTCATTTTTTATGGAAAAAAAGGAACAATGAGAAATGAACCAAAATCTCTATAATGCATATATTTAATTTAATAAGTATTCAATTCTTTCTTCTCTGGGAATAAGACCAAAATGAGAAGTAGTTTAAAAGTCTTGCTTTACAATGTTTTGTGGAAAAGACTTATAATTACACAATTGTGTGGTTTTGAAGTGAAATTCTTAATACTGTGTTCTGTTTCATAAATTAATCTATTTAGTTATTGTTTGCTGAAGAGCTGAAACTGTGCCAGGAGCCTGAATCCAGACTCCACAAACATGTTTGCATCCTATAAAGAAGCTGGATTGAACTCAGAGCCAGATGTGAGCAGAGCTGAACTGAATGCAAAGGCTGGGAGGACCTGCTCATAGCAGATGTTAGAAATGGGGGCTCAGACTTGCACCCAGATGCTACAGACAGAGCAGTGGACTTAATCAGCACTTCCAGTTAGTGCCCCTGTGAGCCCCTGGTTAGAAACCCAGCTCAGCTGTGCTTTGAATTCCACCTTCTGGGAACTGTGGGGCACGTTCCGATTTCCAGTGTCCACATTTCTTTATGATGAAGGGTATGAACATGCAGGGTACAAGAAATATCTCAGAGAGTGAATTTAGACATGGAATAGACAGAAATCTCACCTTCATCTTGTTGGAGATGATAGAGTACAAAATCTGGGCTCCCAAAGCCCTCCCTCATGGGAGGGAGCCAAAAGGACTGTGTTAGGACTGGTGTAAAATCCTCTGTATTTGAAAACACATACATACATCTGTCCCAGAAAAAATATATTTTTTTCTTTGCAGGTCTCCCGCCATAGTTTTTACTTTCTTGGAATCTATAGATCTGGCTGAGAAATGTCAAAGGGGATGGGGTGTCAGCACAATTATGGCAGTGATTTCTACAAGGCAAGGAGATAAACCCATAAACTTCTCCTAACGGACCTGGAATTTTATTATTTATGGCTAATATATGCAGTGGGGCTTTAAATGCTTCCCTAGCCACTCTTGGTGTAATAAAGACATTGTTGAAGCAATATGAAAATGTTTAGAAACTCAAGGTTGGGTCTCACTCTCACCAGGCTATCTATGCCTATTTCCACTTGTAAATCTATATATCTTAAAAACAGTAGCAACCACTCTTCTAACCAGGACAGTTTTTGCTGTGTAACTTCTCAAGTCAGAGATCTGTGCTACAGTAAGAGTCTTTGCTGGGAGCAAAGACGTGATTGAAACAGCATCTAAAGTATTTGAAAATACTTTGTCCTGGGGATGTACCTGGGGGTGCTGTTGATTTTAACTTAGATTTAGTTAGATGTTGTCTCTTTGGTTTTTTTCTTTTATTTGTGGTTTGTTGTTTGTTTTTTTTCCTCGTAGGTTGACTGGATTAGCTGGCTGTCATTCAGAAGGAACTCGGCAGATCTATTTTGCATTCGCCAAACCTCTTTACTGCACATCATAAAGATTTCCTGGGTCCAGAAGCTGCACAAAAGACAACTGAGCAGCACAAAAATGTGACTCTGACAAGAGACTTCAAGCCTTCTGACAATGAATTTTCTACCGATCAGTTTCTAGTTTAAATACATAACTGAAGCATGCATAGTAGTTAACCTGATAGAGAAAAAAGAACTTTCTTATTAATTAGGACTACCAAAAAACAGCAATCACGTGAAGCTTCAAAATGAGTGGTCCATTAATTCCAAACAAGTCATGTTATGCCCAGCTTCAGGACAACCACAGCGAAATAAGAAATAATAATGAAAGCTTAGTGAGTGTGGGGGATACTAATGCCAACCAAATTGTATCGAAAGTTAGAATTATTGATGAGGATGTTAAGAAACACAATTTGACAGATGAAAGTGGGAATATATATTCTGGAGGAACAGAGAAAATTACTCATCTGCATACAGAGCAGAATAAACTTCTAACCTTCAAAGACTCACGGACCTGTCACACCAGTGTACAGGAAAGTAAGCTGCCCTCCACCGCAAGCAAGGAAATGGGAAAAGACTGTAGGACCAGCGAAGTTAAGGATATATCAAGGCATATCAGGATTAGCCGAGGACAAAGTCTGTCCAATTTAAAAAGTAACACAAATGATGCCAACCTGGAGGTTATTTCCAAAGGTGATGTTGACTTCCCCCAGAACTTTTCTAAGGGAAAAATGCCCAGGACTGTGGAGGTGGAGAGAATAAAAAGGCTCTCCTTGGGAAGACCAAGTAAATTCTCTCCTCAGCCTGAAACATTTACAAAAGATTGCACTGGCCGTGTGTCATGTAAACGTCTGCTTTCTGCATCATTGGACTCCATCGACACATCTCACCATTTGATAGGAAATACAGAGAAATCACAGAAAACATCCACGGATCATTTTCTTGGGATGATGTTTCATCCACTTGACAATACCTCAGAGAAAAATACTGTATTTTATTCCAAACCATCTACCTCAGGGAACAAGAAAATAAATAAACTAGAAAATGTACCAAATGTTAACATTGAAAGCACACTGCATACATCTCATTCTCAACATTCAGCTGTTAAGCTCAATGAGATTGTTTGTAAATCAGAAGCACAATTAGGTCAGGGTGATAAAAGTAAAAAACTGGAGCTTAAAACTGCACCATCTTCACAATATAAAAATACATGTCCACAAAAGATAGAGAAAATTATGCTGGTAGAGTTCCTGAGGTGTCAAAGAGATGAAAATACTGCAGTGCAGGAACTGAAAAGCTCTGAGTCTGACACATCAAAATTTCAAGCATGTCATTTTGAAGACACCCATAATAAAGTAGAGGACCCATTGTCAAGCCAGGTGGTAACTTATCCTGATGACAAATTGCAAAGTGGTAATGTCACTATCAGTGGGAAAGGGAGAGGAAGCAATGACAGTGACAACAGGGCAATTAGCCAGGTTGGTGAGGAATATTTTACTGATGGAGAAGTGGAAACAATATTTCCACTCACCTGTGGTAGTAAATCCAGCGTCAAAGTGACACCTAGAAAAAATGAAAATTTGCATGAAGTTGACACAGGTTGCGCTGAAACAGTTGGTGAACAAATATCTCTTATACATAATATTAATCCACCTGACAGCAAAGCCTTGAAAGTTAATGAGAATAAACTGATGCTAGTCAAAGAAAGTACTGAGGATGCTGTTGTGCCTGCTTCTGATCTCTCTGATCATCACAGAGCGTGCAGTGCAGAGACAGTGTCAAACCAACAACCTGACAGCCACAACAGTGATGTGGAAACCTCAAGTGCTTCAGTTTCAAGGAAAAAAGCAGCTAATGCACAGAAACATCCTCCAGAGGAAGTACCAGAGAGCTGTAATGCTTCAACAAAGGCTGATGTCTTTTTATGTGTCCCAACTCCCGTGCGCCCAGTGGCAACGCTGGATGTTAATGGTCAGCCCACGCTATCAAACAGTAATCTGAAGGACCTTTATGCCCTTCATGATGACAAACTGTCAGTCCTACCTCCCATTGACAGCACACAGTTGTTAAATATATCCCCTAAAGTGCCTATCAAGACTGCTTGCAGCAGCGCCATCCCAAAACCTATCCTAGTCCACCCCAAGGGCTCGCCCACAGATAAGGTGGGTGCAGACAGTGACTGCAGTGAAAAGCTGGAAGAAAATGTCGAGATGAAACCTGCCATACCCCGGCCCAAACCTGTGAGACCTAAAATCATCACATACATTAGGAGAAACCCTCGTTCGATAGAGCAGCTTGACCCCTTGTTTGCACCGGCAGGGCTGCCCTTCAGTAGCCCAGCATGCAGCATGCCCATCTCGACGGAACAGAAGGCATCCAACGGAGGGGAGGCAAAGCCCACCAGCATCCTGTATGACAAATTTAAACCTGACCTCCAGAAGCCAAGACTCTTTGGTTCTGGACTAGTGGTGTCAGGAATTAGGCCCCCGGGTCATCACTTTGGTCCAATGAGTGAGAAGTTTCTGCAGGAGGTAAGTTTCTGCAGCTTTGACAGCTGCTTTTGTATTCCAGGTGGTAATCATTTGCTTATTTGTTGCTGCTAGAAGTTGATTCTCAAACATCAAATAAGAAATAAATCCTAAATCAGGGCAATGTGTGATCATCAGAAACAAACTTTACTGTTGCTGGCACAGACCCTGTTGCAATGTCTTAGCTGTGACTGGAAGTTGTCACTATGCTCCTTCACTATTTTCCGGCAAATTGGTCACCTACTAGTATTATAAATAAGGATGTCTAGAAAGGAAAAGACCTGCTGAATTGGATAAATGGAATTTCTTTTTTTCCCTAAAGAATAGCTTTGGGAAATTATTGTAGTTTGCCCACAGAGACTTTTCCTTCTTAGTGGGAAGGCTGGTGGGTTTTTGTAGACAGAGCACTAGAGGTCTAAGCTAATTCCCTTCTGTTTAGCTGTACTGAAACCCAGGGACTATCAGAGCTCTTGTTAGATTATATATATCATACAGAAAAAGATTTACTTTTGACTCATTTAAATGCTGTCTCTTACATTGACCTGCACCTCAAATAAGATTTCTCCTTTCCCTGGAAAGCCATCCTGAGCAGCCTAAAGGTGATGAAAAACCCTCTGCCTCCTGAAACCTCATCGTGTTTCTGCCTGCTAAGTTGGGCAGGAGTTTTGATTTCCTGAAATCCCTTCGGGGAGGTGAGCACAGTGGAGGAAGGATGAACTTGCATCATAGGTGGAGAAAGAACAGGGAAGAGGAAGCTACATTAAGGTCTGGCATGTGCCTTTGCATCTACTTCTTGGGACCTGTGATAGCTCAACAACCAGGCTTTTCGTATAAATACTGAAGATAACACAAGTGGTTTTAGTTTGAACAAGTCTTTAAAAAAAAGGTTATATTTTTTTGTTCTGTAACTCATGTGTTATTAAGGCTATTTATTGCCTGCCTCATTCTACATACACTATTGATCCAAGGAATAACAAGGAATAACAAATTTGGTGACAGTGTTGACAATCAAAATTTGGCAAATGCCCAAATTAAGATACTGTATGTGACTGTAGACTGACCCTCATGGCATGTTAACAGGCAATCTACTGAAGTGATCAAGGATTATAGTTATTTTCCCAAACACAGAAAGGACAGTGCCCACTGTCATTTTTACCTCTAACTTCCATTTTCAGCTCTGTCCCTTATATTTTGTGTCCAGAGGAGGAATTACTAAGGTCATCGGGAGTTTGTCTATACCAACCGTTATCAGTATATCTTCACAATCACCTTGTGAGGTGAGGGAAAATTACTAAGGTATTATTGTTTAATGCCTGTCAATGGAAAATAAAGCCAAAATAACCCAGACTGTGCAGCTGTTTTGCTCTTTTTAGGGTGACATGACCCTCTAAAGACCACAGGTGTCTATGACAGTTGGGGTTCAGATAAGCAGGCAGGATCAGCAGACACATCTGTGAGCAAAGGACAGATTTCTGTGCACAGCTGAGGAATGTTTTTAGCTGGAGAAAGACTCAGGTTGTGGCAAGTCTGCAACATGGTTTTCTCTAGACTAGGGTTAGAAGTATGACACTTATGGGCTGGAGAAGATCCAAAGCATCTTCCCCAATTCCTCCAAGAAATATGACTTTTCATGGGTATTTCAATAAGGGAAGATCTAACCCAAGCAAGCTGCTTGAAGCAGCTTGAGAAGCTGAATTGACAGGAGGAGAGGCTGGGAAGGAAAACTCAAACTGTTGTTTGCGTTATGAGTTTGCATTAGCCCAGGAGTCAGGAGCTGATAACAGAAGGTGAAATTTGCTCTTTTGGGCTGCCACCCTAAAAGCAATAACCTTGCTGTCCTGCCAGTAAAAGGAATGCAAAGGGGACTGATTTGGCTCACTGTGGATCAAAAGAAAGGAAAATGATCGATCCATGGAAGTGAACAGATGCTTAGAAGAACAACTGTGCACAGTATGAGTTCATAGCAGATGAGTGATCTGTAATCCAAAAGAAACCAATTAGGATGGAGTGAGATCAAAATCATTGTGGTGAAGGGAGAGTGTTGAAGACTCAGAGGTTTTGAAGACAAGGAGGCTCTCTGTCAGTACGGCTGCTGTCTTGGTGAGAGAAAAAATCTGAGATTGACCAGTTTGCACATCCAATTTAAGCTTTGGAGAGCTTTGATTAGCATTTTATAGCTCTTTACATAGCTTTGATAGGGTTAATAGCTGCTATCAGTTAGACCTGTAATCCCTAAGCACCCTTCAGCTAACTAAGTGGTAAGAACAATAAAATATCCCTCCAGGTATCAGGAGGTAGAAGAACTAGGAAGGTGCTGTCTTGGACAGGAGACTCCAAGAAAAGACCTGGAGAACTCTATGAGAAAGACTTGGGGGCTGCCTCTGTGCAGTGGGGGGCCTGTAGGGCTCCTTGAGCTGCCTGTGCCAAAGTTAACTCAGGGCACTCAGAAAAAAATCCTAGCTCAGCCATGAAGGCACTCCAGCTGTGCTGAGAGACTGGGTCCATAGCAGAATTGAGTTAAGGTTAAATGGACAGAGACTTGCCTATGGCATTGGCAAGTGCTTTTCTTTGGAACCTTGGCATGGTGTGTAGGTAGATCTTTTCATGCCTGTCTTCATTAAAAAAACCCAACCAACCACAAACAACAACCAAAAAACCCCACCAAAAACACTGCCACTCAAGGTGAAATGCGAAATGCTTAACAAAACCAGTCGTTGCCCAGGGCAGATCACTGCTATCCATATGCTTCATCACAACGTGGGCTCCCCATCTCATCGTGGACCTTGTCCTCTTCTAGTCAGCACCAGTGGGTATTTGTGGTCACTTTGTGTTCCCAGTTGCCTCTACGTGAAGTAGCAGAGCAAATTGTAGCACCCAAAGACTATACCTGTGCTAGTGAACTAAACAGTGGAATCACATGGCCTCCAAGGCTCATGCAAGGTTGTCTGTACTGCAGGACTGGGAGCACACTCTCCAGCTCTACCAGCATGTGCTTACCCAGAGGCTGTTCCCAAAGGACCAACATGGATCAACCTGGTCTGCAGAGTGAGATTTTACCCAACGGATACAGTCCGTGCTCTGTCAGAGTAGTTGCTGGCTCACTTTACTCACTATTTTATGGCTGCTGCCAAGAGCCCTTGTTCTAGTGGGGGTCTGTAAGAAGGTCACCAGCCCTCCTGCCTGCCTCACCAAGGCTGCTCCTGCTCCATTCAACCACCTCTTTGGGTCCATTCCCCAGCACAGACATCTTTCTGCTCCAGAGAGCATAGACTAAACTGTTGAAACGAAGGACCTGCCAAGGAAAAAGGAGCAGGGGAGTTGTTTTTGTATAGTCCAACCAACAATTTCTCCCCTTAATCTCATTATCTGACTTGCCTGAACCAATGTTGCCAACTCTTTTCCTGAAGAGTTCCCTGAAGCAGACACTTGACAAAGCAAATTCTTGCTTGAGGCAATAATGTTGGACAGTGTTATAAACGAAGTAACATGAAGTAAGGTGTTGGGCATCTGTACCTGCTGGCCGTGCTGCCAGCTCTGCTTGGACTACCCAGCCTGGGGAAATTCCTGTATGCTCTAAGTATATGCTGCAGACTTCCTGTTTCTTTCTAACAAATTCGTTATATCGGGTGTGTGTGGAATGAGCCGACAGCCACGCACAAGAAAACTCTTGACTGACCTTCTTCTTAGGGAACAGGCTGCAACAGATCTTTTCTTTAAAAGTCCCTGTACAAAAATCTAGTACAGAATGCTGACAGGTTTCATATTAATCCATATCTTTCTGAAGAGCTTTAAAATGGCAATAATTTTATACAAGTCTATTGAAACTGATTGAATTTTACACTTGGTGTATTCACAGATAAACAGAAAAGAAAAGATAATGTGTCTTCATAGCAAGTTTATGTCCCCCAAAACTGGGTTCTTCAAAAAGGAGCATCTAATTTTTGAGAGATATTTGACTAAATTCAGTTGGATTTGATTATCTTAAGGATCTTTTCCAACCTAAATGATTCTGTTCTAAATCCTTTTCACTTCTCTCAGCTTGAGAAGATGTTTTATAATTGTGATTTATTATTTTTGTGTCCACGTTTGTTGCCCTTCTGTGTTACTCCTAGCATACTGTCAATAAAGGAAAAAAAAGGGGGTAACAGGAGATTTGAATAAACCAACCCAGTTTATAAAAAAAGGCATGGTTTCTATATTTAAAGATTTTCTCTCTTCCTTATACTGAAATACTTGGCATTGGTGTTTTCACTGCCACTTAAATATGAAATGATAGCATGCATAGTGTAATCTGATGGAAATAAATTTATCAGGGAGAGAGAAGATAACTAAGGCTTATCCAGAAAAACAATCTCATATCTAGAAGTTGAAAGGAAGAAGCCAAACATCTGCAGTCCAAGCCTAAAGAATCATATATACAGTAAAAAACTACATCCTAACTTGTGGAAATAGGTCATAGGAATATAATAAAATAGGAAACAGGAAGATCAAATGGCAGGAAATAGGACTGCAAGTGGAGGAAAAAATATAGAGCAAAAATACAAAGCTCAGTATTTGTTGCATCTGCCCTCCTAGTTCCTGTGCAGAGGCCTCAAAAAAATCTATATTTAATAGTTTAAGGCCAATCTTGTCTCTGAGCATATTAAAGATTTGCTAAATTAGGATTAAAGCTCTTGAAGGAGTTAGGATCAAAGCTTTTATAGCCAATGTTGAAGTGCATATTCTAATGCTTATAATTGCTAAATAGAAATTGATTTGGCATATTATATGCATCATAACTTACAGCAGAGTTAATTAATTGGCAGTTACATTTTTTCCTAGGTAGCCTGTGGCACTTTTTGATTAATTTTTAAACAAATTTAGTTCAGATTTCCTATTTCCTAAGGCTTTTTTTTTTTATCCCCATGGCCTAAATGGGATGACTGAAAAAGTATTCATGAACCCTTTCTACATTATGATGATATCGCATTTTATAAGAAAATGGTAGAGAAGTTGGACTCTGCTCAGAAGAACAAATGGTTCTTTGCAAAACTGAGAGATGAAAACTACTGACATTGCTCTGTGCTGTTGCCCTGAGTCATGAAGCAGCACAGCAAAGTGGGAGTCAGAGCCCAGCTTGAGTGCAGAAAGATGCTAGGGCTGAATTGAAGAAGCAGGTCATTCCTCGGCTGCAAGTTCACTGCTGTGAGCCAGTTTGCTGGGAATACTTCCGGCTTGGGACTTACTGTGCTGTGCTCACAGTAAATGCCCATTAAAATACTGAGAGATTTGTCACTGATTTTAACAAAGCAGCATCTATTTGTGATAAATAGTAAATGTTTCACATCTGCAAATTTGTTTTTTTTCTCCAGGGGCACATATTACAATGATTATTTGGAGTGAGAACATATAGACAGTTCTTTTTTTCTCATAGAAATGATTTGGCAATACAATTTCTCTGATAAAATGAACTTAAATACCTCCAGCTTTATTTTTAGCTGGCTAAATTAAAACCAACTTCTCCCGGAATTGTGTCCTGGTAAGAATATTTTAAATAACTTCTAATAAAAATTCTACTTACACAGTCTCTTGGTGTATCTACCTCTGTAACTAAAATAACCTTTTGTGATTTAACAGTAACATCATTTTCACTAATTGAAGATCTTCCATTTATCTGTTTTCTTTGGGGTTTTCTTTATTTGGGTTTAGTTGTATACTGAGTGTGTAAGGTAGATAATTTTGGAGCTTGATTCATTTAGTAAGACCATCACTTTTTGGAAGTTTGGAGTGCTCTGAAGCCTGGATTCACAAGGAGGGAAATTTAGCCTTTATAAGCAATTTAGAGCTCCACATTGTCTGCGTGTATAAATTTGTTGCATAATATCTGTGTTAATGATTTTTCTGTAGGTTGGGGAAAGGCCTGCGAAAGATGAATTTTGCCCTCCACAATATACTCACTATGAGGTCCCACCAAGTTTTTATCGATCTGCCATGATACTCAAGCCACAGTTAGGACTGGGTGCAGTGTCCAGGTTACCATCAGCAAAGAGCAGGATTCTCATTGCGAGTCAAAGATCCTCAGGTAGCTGTCTCCATCAGCAAGGAGAAATAACAAATACTCCCAACATCTATCATCCTGATGCTTCAGGTAAAGTATGAACTTTCTTTCCTTTCCTTTTACTGTAGTCACCAGTAAGATTTTTTTTTTCAGAAAGAAATATCACAAAATAAACCATCTTGATACTACAAAGCTCCAACAGCACTCTTTGAGATGTGTCTTTTTATCCTGCAGCAAGGCTGACTGAGGAGTCTGAAACTTGCGCAAAGGTTGTTTAGGAGGTCATTGCCAAAGGTGAATAATTTTCAATAATTCTCATTGTGCTCCTTTTTATCTTCCTCCATCTTGTAAGTGCCTCAAAAATCTTTGCTTTTGCCCTGCAGAAGATAACGGGATGTCTTCCTCCCTCATGAAGGCCCCATCATTTAATCTGGATTTGACATTCCCGCACCATGCTGTGCTCTGAAAGCCTGAGCAGTGTTCAAATGTACCAGCAGAGACTTGATTCTCTGAAGCCCTGGTATACACCTCCTTAGAGACAACGTTTCTAATACCTTTTTCTTCCCAGTTACTGCCCAGCTCAGCATGACCCTGAGAAGAATTACAGGGGAGGGAAAAACAAGAGAAGAGTTGGAAGAAGTGTACAATGCCATAAAACAGAGATAATAATTACTTCTACAGGACACTTCTTGTAGCCTGGAAAAGCTTTGAGGTTTTAACAATGCACATTTAAACAGCAGCAACTTCAGAGACAACTGCAAATCAGTAATTTTCAGAGTGAAACATAGCAGCTGTTTAACAGCCTACAAATCTGCAGAGATTTTTCTAAAACAGTCGTAAGGGCTTAAATAATTACTTGGCGTCATATGATCCCTTCTCTTGCGCCAGGATAAGATTCCTTCTGATACTTACTTATTTAACCTGTTCATGAAAAACTATTTATAAAAACTTTCAGTATGAGGTCCTGGAGCCTCTGAAAGCAGGACTGCTCTAATGCATTCCCTTCTTTCCAGTTTAAAGTTTTCCCTACTGTTTTGCCTTTGTTGCAATTTACTTCCTCTTCTGTGTGGAGTGGTCGTGGTGTCTTCTTCTCTTTGCAGTTGTTTAAAAACTGTTACTCTCTCTCCCCAGTGTCTATTTCTCCATACTAAGAAGCAGGAGAAATTTAGAGAAATTTAGAATGGAAATGCCTCAGAGTGTCTTGACTTTACCCTGAGAGGATAGTCTCCATCAGTAATACTACTTGACAGGATTTGGGGTTTATCAGAAAATCAAATCAAATTTCTGTAACACAGTGCCTGTTGCGACTATCCTTTACTATCTGATCCTGCATCTGGAGTTTATCTACGTCGATGCCATTAGCAGAAGCTGACCAAGCTCAGCTGTATGTGACTTCTGAGACATTCCAAGATTGCAGGCTGGGTAGTAAACACCATTTCAGCCCTGTGACTTGAGTTCAGTCAGCATTAAACATGAGAATACAGGTGTAGAGTGTAATTGGTTCATAATTTCCATTTAAATGAAACTGCAAGAGGCTGTGAGTTCAGGATACGAATAGAGTAAGCTGTTGTATAACAGGAAACATTTTAGAAGATAGATATGAGAGAAATATACAAGCAGGACCTATTAACAAATAAACTCTCTTATCTGATCCTCAGAAATGAATGTTGCCCTGATTTTTATTCATCCATCATCCATCCATTATCCACATTATCCTGCATCATTGACCTTTCCTTAGCCACTTTTAATCCATATAGGAACTTGTCTTGTAAATGTTACTTTACTGTCTTCCTATATTATGTGATATTCTACAATCTAAACAGGACCAGCCTATAAGTCCTATTTATTGTCTTTAATAGTGCCTTTAAAAATGCCAGTGTATGAGAAGTATACATGAGGAAATTTCACTAGCTCTTAGTGTGATTCTATTCCACTGAAGTTGTATTTCCTAAAGTTTTCATATTTCTCAAAAGTTTTTTGTTCTTGTTATTTTTTTGATTTTTTTTTTTTAAATCACTGATTGTTTCTTAGACTTTGTCTGTTTTGGAAGTCAAATTTAGTTGATAACTTTCCATAATTTCCTTCCTAAAACTGTTATTTTGCTTGTTTCTCTTTAGTCTATTGATACCTTGCTAATAAAGATGCCTCATTGTAGTCCAATAATTTGTCCATCATCTCTTTCAGGATGCCAAAGTGTGTCTCATCTGGTGTTTGGGCTCTGACTGTTTCTATTGATTTGAAATTACCCAAGACTTGTTCTGGAGAGGTTGCTAATGTCTCTACTTTTCCACTGTCCACCTCGGGACACATTGTTTTCACTTCTGGCATCTCACCTTACATTTTTCTTGCAAGAGGAAGAATGTGTTTATTTTTTCTGCAACATTTTATTCTGTTGCAAAGTACTTCTCACTGTTTTCTGTTGGTGCAATGCTTCCCTTTATTTATCTTTCCTATTCTGATATCTTATTTTGGTTTCTTTTCATTCTTTTTTTTTGGCATTTGTTTCCCAATTATCCATTCGAGGTTGGCTTATAATCACCTTTTCCTTGACCAAAGCCTTTTTCTTTGTATGCCTCAAATGACTTAATCTTTCTCTCAGCAGCATATAACTTCACAGGTCAGTTTAGCACTCTTTTTGTCTTTAGTACTGCCTTTTGAGAAGAATTAATTGCTCATGAAAGAGGCTGAAGTAACAGAAGATAGGACAAGACTGGTATAAAAGTGTAAAGGCAACAGAGAACTAATTCCTATGCCTGAGCCCACAGCAGTGGACACAGACCAGAGATGAGTCCCTGATTGCCATGAAGGGGATGGAGGGGACAGCAACCTCTGGCATGCAACAGCAGTTGGGGTGCTGACTGGAGGGGCTTAGAGTAGGGCCAGGCACAGTTTAGCCAGTTGGGTTGAGGTATCTGACACCATTTTCAACCATTCTCCCTTAATTTGGCAATTAGTTGTAGTATGAAATTTTGATCTGCATTATTGGTTTTGATACAGTATTTGAAAAGCAGGATTAAACACAGCTTTGATAGAGTCATATTTACAAACACAAGAAAATGAAATGCATGAACATATGGTCAGCATACTGGAAGCAGAGCCAGTAAGACTTGCTTGTGGGTGTTGTGGGATGTGAGGGCTGGGGTGACTGCAGCAAAAGCAGTTAGAGTGTAGGGGGTATTTTTGCCTTCAAGATTGCTAATCAGCATCTCCTGCAGCTTGATCCTGAGCTTTTAATCCAGTTTCCAATCCTAGCGATTTCAGTCCTGCCCTGAGGTAATGGAAACAGAAGGATCTAGCCAGTTGCCATCCAGTGACCATGGAGTCTTTTAAATGGAAATCACCATGTCACAGTATCGAGGACAGCAGCAGTGCCTCATAATGAGGATTTTATTTCCCTTTGCCATACCATTCATAATGTAGCAGTTTGGTTAAGTAGCACTGATAAACTGAGTGGTTTGGACCATGTATAATACTCATAAAACTGACTCTAAAGTAATTGATAATTAAATCTCTGAACTGCTGTGATAGACTGCAAGTACTACAAGTACATTAAAGGTTTTGTTAGTTTTAAGTTATGCAAAGTAGAAAGTAAAATAGTAATGAGTGTTCCCTCAAGTGACCTCTAAGTGTGATGCGTAAAATGTGATTTAAGTAGAGATCCTTCTTCATCTGTAGGATATAAGACATATAAGACATGTGATGGCATTGGCTACGAGTTCCTTATTAAGCAGTGTTGCTCCTGAGGTGATGCTTTGCCTCAGATGGGTAGGGAAGCAGCCTGACTGTAAGAAAAAGCATTCTTCAATGTAGGTAAGATAGGAAGGCATTGAATTGTGATATACTTGTAGGTGCAAAAGAGTCTCCAAAAGCTTAACATTTGTTAATTTTATGTAAATTGACTCTGCTCTTTCTGTGGGAAACTTGTAATTCAAAACAAGCATTGAAGGATATCGTGTCTATAACATGTAAAATATTAATATGTTTTCCTTGGTTGTAAAGACTTCTTGAAGCAAGTGTGTTAGGATTTGCATTCATTAACTGATTATTTTTAAGGAATTAATGTCTGACATTAGCTGATTATTTTTAAGGAATTAATGTCTGATTTTAAAAAGTATAACAGAGATCTCATAGTTAAAACTTCACTTTAATTATATACTCATTAATTTCACTTAATTTTGCATTTTTCAGTAGTCTTTACAGTATTTTTTTCTCAAAGAGTGAGTTAATGAAATGTTGTTTCCTTATCACCTCCCTGTGTATAAAATTTGTCAGTCCTGAGGGTCTAGATGCTCCTCTCATTTCTAAGCAAACCAACTTTTGATAAAGATAGAATTTACACATAAATCAGGACAGCAATGTTTCTCATTACTCAGACAGACATAGATACATACACTTATTTGTGTCTTTGCATATGTATAATGTATTTCATCATGAATTCTACAATATGTCTACAGCTTTCTCCCAGTAGGAAAGCTTTATTTTCATGTTTATTCTCAGGAATACTTAGGAATTGAACACGTAAATGAGATTTGATGATAGAAAAGGAATTTTGAGATTACTTCCTGAAATGTTGCCTCACTGATACACCAGCTGTGTACTTAGTTTATAGGTTTGCAGTCTGAGGTACTTGGATTTGAACTGGCAAGCTTTTCAATTGTTTAAGGAAAGAGATGACAAGGGAAGAATTCACTGGGGAAATTATTCTCTGTCCTTTACTAATCTGCAGAGTTTTCAGTTGGCACTCTGCTTTCTTTGGGAGAGCAATCTGACTGTATTTCATAAAGAAAAGTCAAGTGTTTCAAAGACCCACAGACACTTCCTCATGGGTTTTTTTAAGGACATCGTCATCTTACTTGAGACATAGCCATCTGCCACCTCTCAGCTCCCAACAATTTCTGTGTCTTCAAAGAACAAACACACATCATATGATAAGGGTTATCTATATGACTGTTGTACCAAACTGCCATTCATAAGAACAGTATCTCTAACAATCTGGGTGTAGCAGCAGGCAAATACTACATACCCTACCTCCTCCCAAGTATCATCACTGGCTGGGCACCCGCAGCACTTGTGAGCAGCAGCTAGGCAGGTGGGATGCAGCTCTGGTGCACAGAGTAGTGTTCTTGTTGCTCTAGGCTTTTGGTGACAAAGGCAGTGAGTGAGATTCAGGCACTGGCAATTCCTGTATTGGAAGTTTCTGAGAGATGCTCCTGCTTTGCACATTATCTGCAAAGCAAACATAGACATTTTCAGTTTGAATGAATTGTGAGATGACAAATTCTTGGGGTGTTGAGAATGTACTAACCAGCCTTGGTTTGCCTGGGAGTTGGGAAGGTACAGAGCAACTTTTTGGAGCTTTTAAATCTAAATAATGAGGAGATGAGCATTTGCTACCGTATCATTATGGACTGGCCTATCAGAAATTAATTGATATTCAGCAGTGGCAACTGTTTTGCCTTTGGAACTGAATTGTCCCAGGGTTGACAGGGTAGCTGGGCACAACCTGCTCACTGCTGTTTAGGTGTAAATTTTTGAAACCTCAGTTCTTGTTCAGAGAGAAATTGTTATAACAGGGAAACCATAAAGCTAGTGGCAACAGAATAGGTTTCTCACTTGTGCAATTTGGTTTTAATGCACAAAGATACCAATGAGGTGGGTTAACTCTGCTTGTATTATCTCTGATTAATGCAGTGACCTTGCAGTTAAGTTTTTTGCTTCAGATTCCCCAATATGAAATGAGAATAGTAATGTTCAGTATATCAGAAAATGAGAGAAAATGTCATCTAATCATTAAAGTTTTAACAGAAATGCTACTAAAAAATAAAGGTAAAGCAAAACAAACACAAAACCCCTACCACAAGATAACAAAGGCTTGCCAAGGATCCCTGAATTGTGGAGCTGAAGTCTTGAACCACTACTCTTTTTCATAAGAACATATCTGTGTAATTCCTTTCTTTAATTTTTCATTCATTTCAGCTAAAACATATTTCAGATTTCACAGAGAAGTCACATGAAAATTGCTTCTCAGATGTGCATGAAGATGTAATTCATGTGCGATGGGGATGCACGAGAAGTGTAGCTCAGACTTTTCTGCAGTCTCCCCAGGCACATCTAGTTTGTGTCAATCAGTCCCTACCTCAAAATGTTTTCATGTTTCAGGTTGGGAACAGCTTGAAGCGTTGAAGAAAATCACTCATGTGCGTACAGACAACAATACTTAATTCTATAATTAGCTTCAGGCAGTGAGACAATTGGAAAGATTTTTTGCCAATTTTTTAACTTATTTTGGCAGATTTTTATTAAAATGAAAGCTGCTCATTAAAATAACTTTTGTTTTGAACTCGCAGACCTTGTTTACAGGAGTACTTCTATACTTTTAAAAAAAGAGAAATAAGGAACATCTGTGATAAAACCTGATATTTAGAACAGAAAATACATACAATAGGCTGATGCCTCATGTATTTTAATGAGAAAGAAGACAAAAAATTACTTAGCTCTAAGGATTTGAATGCATCCCTAATGAGGATAATGTCCTGCCCTCAGGTCCTCATGGTACAGAAGGACTGGATTACAAAGAAGAGAAGTGAAAAATAATTTAAGGTTGATGATGAGTTCAAGATTCAAAATGTTGTTAGTTCAGGGAAAATTTGAATTGAAGTCATAAACTAGAAACACACATGAAAGTGTGAGAAAAAAAGCACTGAACCCTCTGCCCAAGTCTGAGAGAATGACTTTGAAGAAAAGGTAAAGATGATGACTGGGCAACTTGTCATCTAAGACCTTCTGGTTTTAATGAAATTATTCTTCTTCAATGACACTCATGGTGCTTGGTGTGTTGTGGACTACAGGCGCTTGTTGCACAGTGCTATAAAGAACAGCCATATGGGGACTTGTTGTAGGCATCCCTGTGGTTAAACTGGGGATGTGGGAGTCTCAGGGGAACCTCACTGCCCTAGGGCAAGCACATTTGAAATGCTTTTTGAATAAAGCCATTTCTAACCACTTTACCCCACTGCCTCAGTGGAATTTCCCGTATTTTGTTCCAGGAAATCTGTGATATTTATAGGTTTTTTTGCTCTGAAATGGTAAAATCTCTCCCTCCACCTCAATTTTCAGAGATTCTTATGTAGTCTAGGCATGTTGGTGCATTTTTGGAAACCTGTAAAACCCACAAGAGACAGTCCCATACCTTCTCCCTGCTGCCACTGACCTGGGCAGGTTCCTTACTCCTGCAGCTGCTTGTCGTGAGTACTTGGCTCTACTTCGAAATCTGGATGCTGCCTGAGCATGATCGTGTCACTGATGTGACACATGGAATATTTTACAGTGGGGAAGGAAGAAGTCTGGCTTGAGGGTATTTTGCAGATAGCCATAAAACATCTGTAATAGACCACTGTCAAAGCAATGCTGCACAAGCCTGGCAGTAAACTGATGGTGACCATCACTGCTTGTCTCTTCTTGGTACTGATATGCCTGCACTGCCCTTCACCTGGAACCCACAGCTACCTTTGAGCCCATCTTCACACCATCCAAATGAAGCCAGATTCAGGATCAGAGTCCAAAATTGCCTCTATTGGTACCAGAGAACTGAATGGGGATTTTAGCAGTCTTTTGTTACACACTATAGATACTTGTTATTTTCCTTTGGATCACTCTGCACAGCATGTACTCCTCTCGGCTGGTAAAGGTATCCATCTCCTTGAGTCTTAATAAAGAGCTCAGCTTGGGAAAAGTGCGTACAAAAATGCATTTTTAAGAGCCTAGAGTACATAAATTGCTTTGTTTGTTGAGCAAGGAGCATTTTTTGATGTCTTTATAGGAATGTGTTTTATAGGATAACAAAACTCTTTTTAGCTTGGTATTACATATGTTTCTATTTCAAAAGAAAATGCTAAACAAAAGAAATGTTAAACAAAGCTTAGCATTAGTATTGTGATGAGGTACACAACTATCTTTCGAAATCCCCATAACACTTTTCTGCTCAAAGGAGTTAGCCTTGTTTTCTCTAAAGTCTCTGCAAAGTGTAATGCTTCATTAAAATTAATAAGGCTGTGACCTACATAGTTTACAGAAGAATTAAATGCGGTAATAATATGAAGACTATATTCTTACTGTGCAGTTAATTTGTGTTTTTCTTTATATTATGAAAGTTCATTTCTTCCTTTGAAGTATGTGTCAGGCTAGTGTACAAATAGTGTTCACTAAATAAGAATGGGAAAAGGGTGACTTTGTGGCCTTTTCTGGCATATGTTGATAGTTTTTAATGATGCCTTGTCTCCTATTCCACTAGTCCTGATGTCTGATGACTCAAGCATCAGGTTTTGGAGAATGTTGTTAATGTTTTTTTAAAAAAATATGTTCTCAAATCTAAAAGGAAAAATTCTGTCCAAATTTAGATACAGTTGAGGTCTAGATTCACTTGGTATCCAGACCTTCCAATTAAAAACAAACTCTAATCTTTGATCTCTGGCCTTGAAGACAATTCTGCCATGCTCATGGACCTTTGGCCTGTGAGGACAATGTGGAACATTTATGATCCTGTGTTGTGGATTTGCCTAGGAAAGTTTGCCTAAGCAAGAGCAGCACAATACGGGTTGGGACAGAAGCTGAAGACAGGTGACCAGTTAGTTTTTACTACAGGCAGATATGGTAGCTGAACTACTGTTGTTGCCTAACTTCATGTGTTATAAACTTGCCATTGGCAGTTGTCAGAGACTTGGTTGATGTCACTCACATAGGATGATGGTTTAATGGGGAGAAGTCCTTCAGTGGAAATGGCTGGTGGAATGTTAAAAAAGTACAACTTCATGGGTCACATCCTTGTCCCCAGGCTTGGTGCAAGAAAAGTGAGTTTTCTTTTAGAGAAATTTGAAAGAAAACTTCAAAGAAGTGTTTTCTTTGATGGAAAAAAAGAAGTCCTGTGTCCTTGAAGAGGACTGTTGGCGGTCTACAATAGTTTCCAAAATTGGAGGTTAGGCATATTGTGTTTGTCTCTGTGTATGAGGCTTTTTTTAATTGGCACATAGCAAATGTAAAATTAGAAAGTGATACAGCATTAAAGAAGATAACATTGAAAGAAATTCTTAGCAGCATTGAACTATATTACTTTGCTGGAAGTTCGAGTTATACCTCATGGGTACTTGGCACATTTCATATTTTAAAAATTATTGTGACCTGTAATTTTTCCACCCAATGTTTTTTTAGTACAGCAAAGGATAAGACATCACTGCAGTTTGATCAGCCATTAAACTTGTATTCAGTCTTAATATTGCCTTTATGTAGGTGGGTGTTACAGGAAATGATCAGTATCTCCTAGTTTAGTGTATTAAAAAAAAATTCTTTCTTTTTCCTTCTTTCAGTGGATCTTAAGAAAGGATCATGTCCAAGTGCTGCAAAATCAAATCTTCCCAAGCCCTGCCAGTCTGGACTTCGTCCTCCAGGTTATTCCCGGTTGCCAGCAGCAAAGCTGGCTGCATTTGGTTTTGTTAGGAGCTCAAGCGTATCCTCTGTCTCCAGCAACCAGTCAAACGACAGTGCCCAGAGTGATCAAAGCAGGACAACTAACCGTAAGTCCAAAAAGTGCCTTTCTTTCTGGAGGGATATTAAATAGATGTATTTCAGGATTGTCCAGATTGGAGTTTCTGTCTAATTTAAGACTAATGAAATCTGTGCAGTACTCACTAATCTCTTTTGTGCCACTGACTTTGGTTTGCTATCTTGATTTCTGAGTCAGATTTATTTTTAAAAATATTACTAATAATTATTAAATATTAACAAATATTTAGTAAATATTAAATATTTAAAATATTAATAGGTGAATAGGGGCTGACTGTACATCATATAAAAAGTGGCTGGTTTCCCTGATACAGAGAAGATCCCATTAAGACTGAACCTGAGGCATTTTTGTATTTTGTTTTTACCTGGAACATCCCTTCTTACAAGATGAAATAGTAAATAAACGTAGTAAACTGTGTATGGTAAGTAAATGGCAGCCAATGCAGAGCAGTTTAGGACAAAGATTATCTAAAATAAGCTATATGGTCTTTCTCATCTTCTTCTACTTCTTAATAGTCCGTATAATAAACTCAGTTTAGAAAACTGAGCAAATAATATGAGCTAGTGATATGAAAGTGATCAGAACTGATATCGTAGCTGTTGTTTCATCTACCAGACTTTGAATGATCCCATGGCAGAAATGTCATTCCAAATCCTATTTTCTGTAAAGGCTGTTAATTTCATGAGGTACAAAATAATCCCCACTGGATCATGCAGTCCTTTGGAAGAGTGCGCATGCCCTGGGCTCAGAGCATAAAGGGGAATTGAGGAATTTTCATGCCCATTTTTCTTTGAAGATTGGATTGAGCCTGAACTGTATCAATATCAAAGCAAGTGGTATCAGCCTGGGTGGGTTGCAGATGGGGCCGCCAGGTGATATGAAGCAGCAGAGGAGACAAGATGTTGCAGTCTCCTAAATCCTTCAGTGTTTGTATTACTTTGAAATTAATTAAAATAAATACAATGAAAATAGTTTAAAACCCTAAGGATTTTCTCTTTCTCCTTTATGTAGGGTGATTGAAATGCCAAAGACTAATGTGAGTAGGGACTTTAGCTTTTCCAATGCTTCCAAGATACATGCTTGTATCTTGTTTTTCTGTTGCACCGATCATTCATTTCTGTTTATTTCCTAATAAACCTTATTTTTAGAGTACTCAACCTCTTTTACTTTGTGTTTTTACCCTACCTTTATGCCTTTGGAAAGCTTTTCCTTTTATCTGGTATTGTAATCTTTTAGTCTTTGGTTACCTAAAACCTGTGTTGGGGACAGAATTACCTGATTTCTGATAAGACATAAGCCACATCTCAGCAAGGGATGTTGTTGGCTAGCAATTTGAGGTGTGAATCTGAAAAAAATGACATCTATCCATGAACACAGTAGATGCATACAGCTTATACAGCTGAGAATTCTCTAAAAGGAAAATACTCCAAGGTGTTGAAGTTGAGTCAGTTGATTTCCATTAAAAAAACACTGTGAAAGAAGCATTAATAATCTCAGACATAGAAAGTTACATCTGACTCTTCAGTTCTCTTAAAAAAAGTTGATTTTGTTTATATATTCTGGTGTACTTTTTTATTATATTTGTACATTAAGCCCATAAAAACTGAAACCATATTCCAGGCACTGGAAGGATGTGGAAGCATTTGGTTTCAGCTGACTTCACTGAAAATGGTAACTCTCTTTAATGTCGGGATCAGGATGTTGTAACCAATTTGTGCATATTACAAGAAAGGTTTTGATGGATATGAAAATTACCCAAGGGAAGTGTTCTCCTTGTACAAATTCATGTAGAGATGAGCACAGCCTGTCACCTGATGAAAAATAGCACCTATAATTCTGCTCTTTCTGCCAAGTTAGATAACTCATCTAAGCCTTTGTCTATTTCTCTCCACCACCATGTGAGAGCAAGAGAATGAGCCACTCCTGATGGTCTCCTTTGTCACATGGTTCCTGTGACATGCACAGCTGTCCACCCCAGAATTCTTTTATTTGTCTTTAGTTGGACAAGAGTGAGAGAAGGAGAAGGTGTGTTGCCAAGCAGGTGAGGGCACATCTCATGTTTAGGGTGCCAGCCCTCTGGTAAGTCATCACACAAGATGACACTTAGCATCTCATGCTTACTTTGGATTAAAGGCAACACAACTCTTGTTCATCATTCCTGATAGGGCAGATAGGTAGGAAGAAAAAAATTGTTTCCTTAGTGTTGATTTATTAACTTTCATAGAAAGGTTATTGGTGTGAAACTGTACCATCTTTTTCTATTTATAGTCCATGTACCAGCAAGAGTTAAATTAGTTGCCCAACACTCAGGGAGCACAAATTAGTTGCTTTCCATTCTACCTCATCTTATTTAACACAGAGCAGCAGTGCACTTCAACATGCACAGAAAGGATTTAGGGAAGAAGTATTGCCTCAGTAATCTTAGCATTTCTTCCCTTTACTGTCAGCTGGAAGAATGATTTTATTTAAATTAAATAAATAGCTGATTCTATAGATACTACCTGAGATCATGTCTTTGACTAAATCAGGTTTCCTAGAGGGTGGGATAAAGTTTTACTGTTAATTTCCTAGCTCATTAGGGTAGAAAATGCAAAACGATCTAACTTTAGAAATCTTCAAACGTACGTAACACAATTTCCCATTTAAGCAGCATCTCTGTGTGTCAGGGAGACAGAAGTAGTTGATAACATCTTCCAAGTGTGCATATATTATAAATAGAGAAGCTGCTACTGTTGTCACTCAAGGGGCTCAACTCAAAATCATGAAGTATTGTAAGTTACTAAAAAGCCAATGACTATGGCTCCTCCACCAGATGTCTTGAGGTGCTAGCCCTTCCCAAACACATTTCTTTTTGTAAGTCCTAACCAGTGTCTCTGTCTAGAGAGTAAAACCCTACTTGTTTAGAGTAAGGAGACGTGATGTTTGTGTTGAGGGGAAGTTTGTTAATGGAGCTACAATGCGGCAGCTTTATTCTTCACCAGATTTCTCCCCTTCCTGTGACCCCTCTAAGAGCAGTAAGCCTGGATGTGCACAGAGCCTGTGCTATGCTCCTTGGTTGACTTTCTGGCGATACCTCGCATTTTCAGATTTACTCAATTAAATGGATTTTTCAACGGTGGGACTGTGCTCTTTTCCCATGGTAGAACAGGGGACACTGTGTAGCACTTGCCTGTTTGTCCTCTGGTCTTTCTTGGAGTTCTGTCCCTGGATTGTGGGTGGAAGCCAGATTGCTGTTCATCAATAACATGCCAATTGTGACAGTTGTGCCACCAGCTGCTAATCAGGATCAGTCATAGGCTCTGCTCCTATGAGGTCCTGCTCAATTTTGTGTTGAGGCTGGAGGGAGAGCTCTGGTATCCAAACTGCTCAACATCTCACCAGCTTCTGTGGCAGGGAACTGACCTTCAGGTCAGGGTCACTAGTCTGTTTTGACCATTTAAAATCCACTTTTTGGTGCCTATATGTGACTTGTGGTTTGCACACAGGGAAGCTAGGGTCTGTGAAGCTCATTCATGGTAATGGTGGCATATAAGGCAGCTTCTCACTTTGCTGAAGGAGGTGAGATGTAATGTCAGAAGCCAAAGACCATTCCAGTTCAAAGCTGGGTTCTAGGATGAATCAGGGGAGCTCACCACAGATCACCACTGCTTGTCCTGTCCTGTTCAAAATGAAATGGTTAAAATGGTTCAGGGTGAGCTCTTTGTTCAATATGGAGGACAAGGGCAGTTGTGTTTGAATGAAACAATTCAGAGAAGTGGAGGTAGTGAGAGATCACTGTACCAGAGGAGGTGGGGGTGTGTGGTGTGTCCATCCTTTGTTGCTACAAATGTTCCTCTCTGCTCAGTGTGAAGCCTGCAGCTACTCCTGCCACTTTCACACCTCCCATCTCATGGCTTCCCACATCAGAGCAGCTTTATACCACAGTGCAGCAAGGCCCACATGATGTCTTCTGCTTGGGCAAAATCAGATGGTCTGACACCTGATGGGCATCTCGGAAACTCCAGGCTGAGGCTCAGCTGCAGGTCCTGCTATCAGCCCTCCCCAGGTTTTTTCTGTGCCACAGATAGGTTTGCCCACTAAAGATTACCTGAAAAATTCAAGTTTACAGTCAGCTCTAGACTACTGCTTTTGAGGTTTTCAAAAATGCATATTTTAAACCATTATTCTTTATTTAGATGAAAGGGATTTTGTCAAAAACCTTTTTGCTTGTTTTCAGTCTAAGTTGGCTAGAATTGAAAAATTCAGATAGTCCAATCTAAGAGGAGTGTGAATGTATTCTGCAAAATATGAGAAAAAATTAATGACTAGAAAGTCATGTTGAGGTCAAAAGCAGCATGATTTGGGAGTGAAAGAATTGTGTAAACATAAAGAAAAACTCCTAAATAGCTAATTTATAACAAAATACTTAACTTTGTGTATTTTCCCTTGGAATTTTAAATTCACTATGTTGAAGTCTGCTACAATGAAATTTGTCTAAGAGATTCATGTCATACACCAAAGGCCCACAGTTGTGGGATGTGATTCCTAGTATTATCTTGTGATTCTGCAGTGAGGTAATATGATGCTCAGACTGTAACTTCTGTTTTACTATTTTGGGGGGCTTGGAGTTCTCTCACTTGCTTGTATCTGCATTTTTAGTGATCAGCTGAATACCCTGCTCATGTAATTATCTTTATGTACTTCATCAGAATAGACTCTAATGTTTGTAAGTACCACATGGGAAAGAGTTTGTTAATAACTGTGGAAGAGTTTGATGTGTGGAGAATTTGAAGGACAGATTGTTCAGAATGAGTTAAGGTATGGTAACTGCTATGAGTTTCGGAAATGGAGAAATGTAGGTATAATGTCGGGAAATACTTCAAAGTCATAAGGTCTACTAGTCTATTAAATAATCTTCCAACTCAAGTGATGCAATCCCTGTTGCTCAAGATTCTTAAAATAGAATACTAACATGATGTTAGAAGCAACTCTTCTCCAGTGAGGCACTAGACTTAAAGACATAATGCTATT